GCAGAATATGATGAACCAATTTTTTTTCTTCTTTGGCCCTATTGAGTGCATCTTCAAAGGACACGTAGGGAACCTGAAATGTAGATCATGGAGATAAGCTTTGAATCTTGGAAGCCGAGTGGTCCGTTAGAGCCTCCTTTTATCTTTAATCACTTCAACAAAGCCATGCGCTAGTAAGTGCACTTTTCGATGGAGCGTCACATAACTAAAACCATAGTAATCATAAAAGTCGCCAATTTGCACGAAGGGTATTCATCTCAAAAATCCAATGAAAACTCGACGTAAAAACAAACAATTTGCCAGATGCGCGGGAAAACGCGAGTTTTCAAGTTGCAATTGGTTTTAGTTTTAAATCTGATTGGTCGAGAAAGTGGCGCGAGTTTTCTGAGTAGAAGATCATTTGGGATTGCTTTGGTTTTGGATTACCTTGCTGTGCGATTGATTCAGAAAACTCGCGCCACCTTCTCAACCAATCAGATTCAAAGCTAAACTGACCAATCACGACTTGATAACTCGTGTTTTTCCGCACATCAGACAAATGGTTTTTTGTTACTTCTCGCCTTATCATTTGAATGCTCTAGAAACATTTTTCTAAAAATGTATGGTGTTGCATTTATCCATTTGCTTATTTACTTAATCATTCAGTTAATAGTTTGTCAAATTTAATGACCCAGCAACTAAACCTTGACAGTTGAGTTTGTACATGCAGTTTACCTCTTTAAAAGAATAGAAGGCATCTTCAAGCGCTTTGTAAGCCTTGTCAAATGAAATCTCTTTGTCCCACTTGATAGTCTTGCTGGTGGATTCTACTTCTTCATCAGTTTGTTGTTGACCAGGCAGAATCGAAGGCATGACACTGTTAAGCTCCATGTGGGGTAGAAACCCTGAGGAAAAAAAACATTTATACTTAGAAGTTGTGAATCTGTATTAGGAGATAGCATAAATATTTCAATTGAGAGCAGGAAAACCACAACTGCCAATCAGGCTGAAGAAAAAAAAAAGAACATAGGAATCAATGAATCCTCACAGTGAAAACAAGCAAACTGTCTAAATAAGGTGTGGGAAAAGGTAAGGTATCAAATCGTAATCTGTTTTGAGTGGTCTTATATCTCAAAAATTAAGAGGATCATGCAACTTTTGTTATGTAAAACTTATCGTGATCTTGAATTATTCCTGATTGTCACAGTAAATTGAAACGGTAGGGGGAGCATATCTAGAGTCATATTTGCTAACCTTTCATTTTTTCAATAAGTTTTATGACTATGAAAAGTTATACTAACCAATGTCTACTTCCATGTCTCCAGGCCCCCCACTGCTCTCATAACTTGTGTCTACATTGAGAAAGAAATACAGTAAAAACCCGCGTTTAAGAACCTCAGGTTTTTTCAAGTTAGCCTCTAAAGGTTTTATATAAATGGTGTTTACTGGGAAATTAGGCTACCTGGGTTCTTAATCAAGTTCTTAATTTTTGATTTTGCTTTTTTTTGTAGACAAAACAACTTTTATTGGTGGGTGTGGTTGTGATACTCCGCTATATGCCAGCCTCATAGTGTCCTGCTTATATGGTTAACTTATACACACAGTCGGATGTGTTGCACAGTTATGGATGTATTGACAGAACAGTATCGTGGTCTTACGACACTGCCGTTGTTCTGGCTAGTTTTTGAAACCTTTTTTGTAACGCATGCGGTATACAGTCTCAATTTTGAAAAACTCTAAATTCTAAAAAAAGAACCTGTATTTAGATTTTAGCCAAGAATGGTTCTTATATTTATAAGATAGGTGCTTAGCTGGGAAATTTCAGCCCAACAGGTTCTCAAATTTTAGGTTCTTATACGCGAGTTTTTTTCTGTATTACGAGGAAACAAGCTCTGTCAACTGACTGAAATACCCTTCCCTCGGCCAGTTCCTGATGTATTTCTCATAAGTAAATAATAAATAGACTGCACTTTCTATCAATTCACCGGCGTAATCACCCATGCACTTGGGATGTTGGGAAAACAAGAGAAAAGTTTGTACATCACTAGCCGTAGGTTTACAAACTTTTCCAGTTTTTGATTGACCAGAGCGCTCGTAATTTCTCCGTTATTGTATGGGTGGTTTTGGTTATTCAAGTGCTGCGTAAGAAAAGTGAAAACTCGGAGTGGTGTTCAATAACAACGTACGTTAAGTGAAATGTACCTAAATAACTAGGGATCTGTTATATGTTTGGCCTCTAAATATATCTTATTAGACGTTTTGGTGTGTAGTATCGCTAAGTATTTTTACGAGTTGTGCCGTATTTTACAATACAAACAACAAGTTAAGATACTTAGCGATACTACAAACCAAAACGTCTAATAGGTTATCTAGCACCCCATTGCTATTTTTTCCGCTAAGTCTTTCTGCTCATTTCTTATAAGGCGGGAAAAGCAAGGCGGATAGAGAAGCGTAGCGCGTGCAGCCAACTGGTTAAACAGGTTTTTTACAGTACAAAATAACCAACCGTCCAAATAACCGTACAATATCGCAGGATATTTGTGCTCTATTAGCGCGTTATTTGTACTCTACTTTGTGCAGTTGGATTCGATTGTTTGTGTATTGAGCATTTCAGTTCTACCTGTGTCCCCTTCCGCTACAGTGGAGACAAGCCATTCCATATCTAAAATGGACAAGAGAAAGCACATTTTTAAACTCATACAATTCTTGTAGGAAAGAACTAAACAAGTTAAAACATGGAAACAATTCACTTCAACTATAATAGTTATAGTAATAAGCTACATCGACTTCAGAATAAAAAAAACCTGATGTTTTGATGTGTAAACTATATAGTAACAATAGTTCCCTAACCAAATAAGGCCTTGGGCATTTCACTTGGTGAATATATTTTGTATATTTTATTTCACTATCTTATAGTAAATGAGTAAATAAATCACTGCAGTGAGGCTGCGTTTCCGTCGCTCTTGGTTTTTTGCATGGTTTGGCGTCAGTTCTCGATCATATTGTTAGCTCTCAAAAACGGGCTGTGAATGAAGTAACAATTTAAGAGGCTAGGAAGAGTCGAACCTCGGACGACCATGCAAAGAATCCTGGCTCTGCCGCCGACTGAAGTAATGCGTCACAGATACCAGTTTGGCACTCAGATGTTTAGGGCAAGTCAAATTCAAGTGGATTCTTGGAGTCCCGTATTCAAAAGGAATTTCTCTTTTGTTGCGCAGCACTAGTGTGCTAATCTTCTACACTATTGGATTGTCAACTTAAAGGTGTCAATTACGTTATTAGGGGTGAAAACATGAGCGCACTACAATGTAACCTAGTTTCTTTAGTAATACTCACCCACGTTTAAACTTTTATTATTAGGCACAGCCAAGTGAAAAGACTCTACACGAGTCCCATCTTTTTTTATCACAATATTACCCAAGAACTGAGCAGGAGTGAACCAAAATGGCAATAAAGGAGGTTCATTCAGCTGAAACTCTGCATGTATCCTGGCAAAAGGAAAGTCAAAATGCCCTTCAAGCACTTAGTGACGAACGTGAACCATTACAAGTTCGCCCCAACCACCTTTGCAAGTCAGTCGTCCCCTTACGTAAAACGAGTTTTCCCCCACCTTTACCAGTTCGCCTTCATATCATCCAACTTGGTCTAAGAGATTAAAAACTACACTATCTAGAAAAAACCATTCAATGTATTCGATTACTCAGACTAAGGTGTCTTCCAAATTGCAATAAAACTTATGAATTAAGAGACATCCTTGAGACTCTTCTTAGCGACCGGTTAATATGAAGTTTCCTCCTAATCCATTAATGAGTTATAACATGCTGAACTTCTGGCCTCTTAAAAGTATCTGCAGCCATTGTATTACAAATATCATTGGCTACTTGATTAAATGAACTATTTCAAGCCACATTTTTCTTGCTCTCGGCATTCTGCTTCCGATGATCACTCAATGGAAAATTGGCGTATTTCAATTAGTAGTTTGTGGTTCAAAATCTCTTGTTGCTAAATCTGGCTCTGCTGAGCAAGAGTATACCATTGGTTTAAAACCTCTTTATAGTCTAATTCAGTGGTGCTTTGCAAGATAAGCTCTTGCAGCTGCACAGGACCATTGAATATAAAGAATTGCTTTCTTTCAAAGTTAATAATGAATCATAATGGCTTTTAGAGGTTGTTTACTTGACATGCAACCCAGCCGGACAATTGGATTTCTCATATAAACATATTAAAATACAAAAGTGAAAACCTGAAAACAATGTCCAAGTAGTCCTTGCTCTCTGCTCGCACACAGGCAACTGTTCCTTGTGGACCAAACCTGGTCAGCAGAAATGGCCGAGGATGGAACATACTCAACAGTTTGTACAATATGGCTAGTCTCCCTTTCACAGGGGTGGGGTAGTGTCTATTGCTGGTCAAACCTGGACCTGCGCATTTAAATTCATTTATGACTATGAGCATTGGACAGCAGGGTAATGAAGTTACAATTTAAAAAATACCAGCAACAATTTGTGACAGCATTGGGGCGGGATTAAGGGAAGAGGAGAGAGGGATGGACAATAGAAGGCAGAGTGTCTAGCTAATGTATGATCATTCTAAGCTGCCATTAATTTGGAGATCCAGAAATAATGCAGTTTTACAGAAATCACCGCAAGAAAAAAAATTGCTTTTTTAGGTAAGCAATATTGCTGGAAATCATTTTTGAAAGTTCACGTCACATCTTAAACAATGAAGGAAAAAGGGGTAAAGCCTCCAAAAAAAAATTGATTACGTCTATTAAACAGTAGTTAAAATAAATCTTGTTACTTAAAATGGAAGGATTTTCCTCCATCTACCTCCATCATTTTTTTAGATAAATACCACATTTATCAATTTTGTAAATAAAAGTTAAAATAAAAATTGGCACACTGTACCATCTTTATCAATCCTAGACTCTACAATGTGCCATGGTTGGCCTAATGGTGGTTCAAGGATTGGGTAAGGTAGAAATGCTCTAAATTCATCTACTGAGTATGTTGCCATGGGAACTGAAGAGGTGTTCCATGACTTCAGTCCCTGCATTTGAATTTCATTTCCCTAGGAAAAAAAACAACACAAGTTTATAACTTACAACTTCAACAGACCACTTTGTTGTAATTTACAGGGGCAAAGTCAGATCCCTTGATTCAACAACCAAAGATAAGCACAATCTCTTTTTAACTAGACTATGAGAAGTCCCTCCTGTTCTCCCAATTCTGTCATGCAATTTAAATAGAAAAATCCACGAACAAAAAAACTGATGTTAGCACACTGCGCAGAACTCTGGGTGTGAGGCACGTGTTTGGTGCTGACATCAATTTTTTGTGTGTCTCAATTCCTAAGTTCTGTGCAGCCTGCTAACATCAATTTTTTTAAAATTTTTTTTACTGGCTTGACTGACTTCACTGAAAAAAGGAGGGACTGCTTGTTGTCTAACTTTTAAGTTTCAGTATAATTCAATTTAAACATACAATTATACCAATATATGACTTAGTCAGAAATTCAAAAGGTCAAAAGTATTACCCAAAGTAAATTTTGTATAAATCTGTTCATGTGTAACAGATATTTCTGAATAGTTTTATAAAAATATTCAGCAAATTCAAAATGAAAAAAAATCTTATCTACTAGACTAAGTAACTACAGTATGTAGTAAATTTTTTACATGAATATGGTAGATTTTGTTATTCTTGTCCAAGATGCATGGCTTACTTAACTCACATCAAAATTAATACTCACATCAAACCCTGAAGAATGATCATCAGAATACTTGGTCATTGATGTGAGCACCAGGGAAGTAAAATTACTTATTACAGTCAACTGTTCTGTTGCAGCCATGTGACTCACATCTGGTGCAGAAGTATCACTACTGCTGTCAGCTACTTTCATTTTGTGAGGTCCTTCAGCAGCTGGTGCCTGAGTTAAAAACATCAGATGTAACCTTTTGACCCCTTGGAGTGACTCAATGGATAATTCTGTTCTGCTTTCAGCATTTGGGTTAGTTATATAAATATGGATGTATTTCATTTTGGTTTTTAAATAATTAATTAAGTTAAGGTCTCAGGAGTGTCTTGTGATTCAACAACATTAACATTCCAGGCCATGCAGTGAGATCACTTATAGGTCCAAAAATATATTAAATGGCACGTATAATTTAAGCTTCTTGGTTCACCTAGTAGTTACTGAAGAAATAGCCTTTAGAGCAGAGCTGTTAAAAGTTGATGATGTAGCTTATCTTTTTGCAACTAGCATTAAATTTCTTGCCAATTCCTCCTCAAACTCCAACACAAGATTAAGACAAACATTACTCCAGCTAAAGTATTTCAAACTCTTTGAAAGCATACTTTTTAACTCTCGACCCAACCTGACTCAAATTTTTTGATGCAAAAACTAAATTACATCTTCAGCCAATTCTGGCATATCAAGGAGACCATCCATTAGTTTTCATCACAGGATTCAAAATAAATGTTGTTCCTTAAATTTTCATCCACAACACCATGTCTTACACTCAGGTTTTACCTCTCACCACTTTGCTTGTGAATTCAAGCTGAATTTTTGTTAAGCCAAAGTGATTCAAAAGAATAGCAACAGTTGCAACCAATATTGTAATAAAAGCATTTAGTGTCAAACACTTCATTCTGTTGTTGAGAGTTCAAGGATTGTTAGGGTTTTCCTCAGCTTATTTTGCCGCATCTTTCCTTTTTGTACTCATTTTTTTGTTCTTTTAGATACAACCAGCATTGCTGTAGTGTCACTCTACACAACTGAGCTGATATAGCGAAAAAAAAAATGGTTTACAACATTCAAGGAACTACGGATTTTTTCCACTACAGTAACTGTCATAGTTGTTAAGGTATAATTAATGTTCTCGTAACATTTGTGAGGCTCGTTTACTAACCACGTTTATTTCAAACTTTAAAGTTCAAGGTCTTTCAAGGATTTACTATGTTTTTCCATTTGACCCTTAAATGCTTAGGATTTGAAAAGCACAGTGAAATCCAGAGGGGTAAGGAGAGTTTTTCATGCAGCACCTTCCTCATTCTAATGTTCAACTAGTGCACGCCAATGACTCATCAACATCCTAAGTCAGCGAGATCCCTAACACCTACACATAACAACGATTGAGCTTTAACCGCATGCGGCTTTTACTAGTAGACTTAGAGTGAGGATAAGAGGTAGGAAAAGCAACGGAGAAGTTGACGATGAAGCTGTGAATGCCGAAGAAGTAATGATCAAATATTTTTAAACTGCAGAGCCTGTTAAACCTTCAGCTAAGCATGATTTTCTTTTCAGTCCCCTCTCGTGTTCCCACACAAGATTGAGATCGTTCTGCGTGTATCCACAAATGAATTTCTACGAGTTTCAAAAAAAAAAAATAAATAACAACGTGACTACTTACTTTTCGACGCAAAATTCTGTTCGCAATTTGGATAAATTCCGACAAATCCAGAACCCCATCCAAGTTTTCATCGAATGTCACAAACAGACTAAGCACTTCTTCATCAACGACATCAAATCTTACGCCGGCTTCACTGTTACCCTCTGTGTAAGAAAATTGGCGTTGAATTCGCATTATGACAAAGCGATCAACAAAGACAGCAACTATTGCCACCAAAAGTGTCGTGAGGGCAATCGTCATCTTCTTCGTTTTGTGACCGGAAGTGAAATCTTCGGAGCGATTCTCCACTGCAGCCGTGGCTGTGTATTCGCGGTTTTCGATCATCATCGTATTCTTTCGAGTACAAGCACCATTGCTGCAACTTAATGCAATAGCAGGGAAGTAGTGGAAGGACCACACCGGTTTCAAATTTCAAGGAACTACATGTTTTATGTACTTTTAAACGCTGCACCAGCCTCGCTTAAGTCCGGTGTTGCTTTCGAACTAACAGTGCGCTCTTTTTGTTCTTATGATAATACACCCCTTTTGATTGGCTAGGTTTTACACTCTAGCCAATCACAATTATCTTTAGAACAAAGGTTAATCTCGAGTCAATGATAGTTAGTAAACATGGCGGCCATTATCTCTGAAGCGGAAGTGGCCGCAGCCATCGAACAGGCGTTTGCTGAGAGAATCGACGAAATGGAGGAGTCAATCGTGGACGAGACAACGAATGAACAGAAAGTTCCAACCATGCAGTGTTCCTTTGAACCGAAAAACAAGTATGTAAGCGGTGTCGAAAACATGAATGAATACGTTCTCTCGTACTTCGAGTCTTTGAATCATATGAGTCGGAGAATCATCACTGAACAACGCGAAGTGATGGCCGAGCAAGGCAACAAATGGGATAACTTAAGTCCCGACGAACAGGATAAACTCATAGATGAACGAATGGTCAGTCCCAAAGTGAAAAAACACTATTATTTAGATGATTCTTTTTCAACGAGAAAGCCAGATTGGTTTCCAGTGTTGAGATTGGCCCATGGCATTTCAGGGTCTGAAGAGCCGGGCAATTTTAACCCGAGAGATAGCATAACATCTGTCACGGTGAGCTTTTGTGTTTCATTTTCAAGGTTTGTTTCATAGTGAACATTTCCACATGGTTAAGTGCTTCCAGGAAACAAGCTTTCGTTAAAAGCTTTATTTTGCGAAAGGGTGACGAATATACCTCAAAAATTCCTCTTTATTTTAATCCCTTCAACCGTCACACTTTCAGTTCGATCATGAAGCGTGATTCATTTACTAAAGAAAGCTTGGGCGTGGTTGTTGTAAACGTTTTGAAAAAGTATGTCAAAATTATTTCGTTACACATGACGTAGATTTTTCGGCTTGAAAAGTATTTTGCTTACAATCACATGTACGTAGTTTGTTCACCAATATTACTTTTAAGTTCAGCTATCTGTAGAAACTTTTTCATGTTAGCAGAAGGCTCGTCGAGTTTTGTTCATAATTATTCGCGAATCGTGGAATGACGTAAGTTAATTTGATTATATTTCGCATGTTTTGAAGAGTGCATTTCAAACATTGTTTGAGATGTCATGAGGATTTCAATCAATAAAGAAATTAAACGTTGTATCGGCCGAAGATCGTCGATGTTTTATTGTGTAATTTTCACAAAATTTAACAAAGTTTTGCGACTAAAATTTTTAGAGCCATTAACAGGAATTCTAGAATGGTCTAGGGAGGTTGAACTTTTTGAAGACTGGCAAGCATTCATTCACATACTTTGTGAATGTGAAATAAGACTGAGTGAAATACTTGATTGTGAACTTAGCTCTCCAGCTAGTTGTGAGCACAAAAATCTATTAGTACACACAACTGCAGGTTCTAGACTTGGGTGCCTGACAGGGTTGAAATGTGTTTTAACATGCATGTTACAACAGCTGGCAATAAAATCTTTATCGGGTAAAGTTGAGAGAATAAGAAAGATGCCATTGGTTTCAGTCACTGAATAGGAAAAGTTGTTATCCCTTTATATGATGAGTGCAACACAAAAAAAGATCTGAGCCCCCTCCCCCCACCCCACACCCCCTTGTATATGTGGAGTCAAATCCCAGACTTGTGGATTACCAACCCTCTTGGCCCAAAACCCAAACTCAATTTCCTATAATCCTCTTAACCCAACAGTACTTTCACCTTTTACACAAACACACTTATCCAGTTATTTTTTGTAACAGTTCAGTTTATTTAGCTTTAATGTATGTATTTTGATTATTTTCAATCTTAATTATTGCTAGTATACATGTGATGTATACCTACTCATTTAAACAAGTACCTATATTGCATTCTGCTAACATTTTGAAAAGTCAAGTGGTTAGTTTATGCAATGGAATCCTTGTGTCTTGTGTGACTGAGCACCTTATGTGATTTTTATACCATTTTTATTTTGTTTTGTTATTTTAATAGGATATCCATTCCAAAGATCAATTTTCATCTCCATGGTCCTGGGAAACACGAGTGAGTGTTGATAATGCATTTTTTTTTGCAGTCTGTGGTTTGGAATTTTTTTATGGAGTGTGTTGGTTGTTGTGGTTCCATACCCTAACAAACATTTTCATTATCAATGTTTTAATCCTTTCACCTCACTAAATGTTTTTTTCATTTTTATCAAGTGACATTATGCTATTCTAAAAAAGTTAATATTGCAGTGTGATATAAAAAAATGACTTATGAAATGCATCGCTGTGGACTGGGAAGGCTGGGGAGGGGCTGGTGTAAGCAAAGGTAATGGTGCATTTAAAAACTATTTACAACATCCAAGATGGTGACACCTCACATACTGATGTGTATTTTGCAATAAGTATTTACATTTGGACAATTTCAAGTCCAATAACCATTACAATTTCCTTAAATGTAATTGATGCATTAGCTTCTTTATATTTCACTAACCATTCTGTACAGTTGTAAGTGGACAGTGTAATTGGACAGTTGGCTGTAATTGGACACCTGTAATCGGACAAGCAGTCAATCATACTAAGTCAAAACAGCTAAATCCACCAATCACAGAATTGATTAGAATCATAGCTACATCCACTTATTCTGAAAAAAAAAACTGGAGAATTTCCAAAATGGAGGAATTTATTTGTTTTTTCAGAAATTGTAACGGTTATTATCAATTGGTAAAAGGACTTCCTGTTGTCCAATTCTGTCTGTAATCATATTCGTGATTGACAAATCAGACTTCTTTCTAGCAGTCATCCAATTTTGGTAATCACTTGTATGATTACAGACTGAATTAGACTCTACTCAGTCCTATTACCATTATTTTTCATTATAATATGACAAAACCATGTTGAAACATAAGGAATTGATCAAAGAGGCTGCAAATGCATCAGAGTTACATACAACTTTAGGGCTGTTCTTTCAAAAGCATGTAATGAGGAGGATGGTTCATAGCTTCCAAAAGTCATGGGCCATAAATAAGCCCTTAAACTTGTATTCTGCATCACACATTAATCACTGTTATCACTAATTTCATCAGCTGTACCAGGAGAAATTGTTGCTAAATTTTGTACAACGATTTCTCTTTCCAATTATCTTTAGAGCCAACAAGATCTTCATTTACTGGAGGAGGGAGAACTTGAAGAGCAACTAAAACGTGCACTAGAAGCTGATCTAGAAACACTAAATACTGTAATTGTACCAGTTGAGGTTAAAACAGAGAAACAACATGACTCTGACACAGACTCCAAAGACACAAGCATCAGCAGGAGTTTGCCTGGTTCAGAGCCTCTGTCACGAAAAGAGTTTCTTCTTGAGGGTCAGAAGTTTAGCCCTAGTAATAGTCCCCAAGGCAGCAAAGGGAGCCTTGCATCCACACCTCCTAAAGGAAGCAAGGCAAGTCTTATATCAGAAACACCACCTAAAGGAAGTAAAGGCAGTCTTGCATCAGACATACCTCCTGGATTAAATAAGAGAAATTTGCTGTCTGACACACCTTCAAAAGGAAGCAAGACAAGTCTTGCGTCAGAGACAAATTCAAAGGAAAATAGAGGGAATCCTTTGTCAGATACACCACCCAAAGAAAATCATTCAAGTGTAGCTAAAGAGACACCTCAGAAGAAAGATGCAAGTAAACTAAACCTTGAGTCTGAGATGCCACAGTCATCAGCTGCCAGCAAATCTTCATCCCCAAAAGAGCAGAATGATTCCAAAGAAGCTTCTCCAGCTGAAACAAAAGTAAGTACTGTACCTAATCCATGTGTCTTTTGCTAAGTACATCTCCTTATGAATGTTGAGCAAAGTTAAATTTTTTTTGTTAACAGGAAAGAATTATTTAATTTTGAAAATCAACAGTTACCCACCCCCAAAAATCACCCAGCAGCTTTAAGTATGAAAACTTTACAGATTGGAATCTTTCTGTTGTTATTGTTGCAGCCTGATATTTTTGTTGTTTTAAATGACTGAAAGTTCTGTAGGGAACAAAAATGTACTTTTCTATTAAAGCAGTGGTTGAGAAGGAGGGAAATGTAAGTTTGTTTTCAAATTTAACTAACTACAAGTGGCACATAGAGACCCCATGTGGTGGATGATTGTTTCGGTGTTGAATGAGTCCTGGAAAAACATTTGGAGTTACCACTTGATTGTTATTAACTGTATCCTCATTTATCGGGTAGCAATTATGTGCATATTGTACTGCAAAAGATAATTTAACATAATAATTTCACTTCATTTTTATTTCTTACAGGAAGTGGATATTGGTACTGCTTCCAATTCAAATGACTTGTTGGCTTTTCTTGTTAATTGGTAGCTCAGAAAGCTTTTCAACACATGGTGATGTCTTAACAGTTATGTGGCATACATTTCATGAAAAAAAAATTCAATCTAAAAAAACTTTTTCCAAATGCCTGCAGTGTTTGTCAGCATAAAAAATATATTCTAAATGTTGCTGATTAGGTGCAAGTTAACATTTAGTTTTAATGACTGTTTAGTATTATTGACCCTGTTTATTCTTCTGTTGAGGTTTTGTGGTGAAGCTCTAGAATGAAAGAAGAAATTAATTTTGCATGCATTTTTAATATGCTACAATTGTGATAGTATATAGATGGGTAATGTTTTGAACCTAAGAGAAACAGTTTATCATCTAGTTATATTGTCATGGTTGAAGTTCCTGAGACAGTTGTTGTCGTTATTAGTGACTGACATTTTGACAGCCCTGGCAGAAGTCAACATCTCACTTGACTCAGATGAAGACTTCCACTCAGGTGTTCAAAATGTCAGTCATTTGTAACACTTTACCCGTGACCGAGACTAAGTTTTTCCTTACAGCATCAATACAGTATCAGGCAGGCAAGTGACAAGAATAAATAAAAATGTCAATTAGGTTAATATTAGTTGATCCAATACCAGAACCATTATTCAAACTAACATCACATTTTGTTTAAGGCAAAAAAATTAACAGATTTTTTTACATTGTTCATATGGGCCACATCCACATCGAGGAAATTTAAAACAGATTTATCGAATTATATTTTTGTAAATACTTTTTTTACACCTCCCATGCATTTACCATGGATTTCCAAATTATAGACCATGTACAAGGTGATAGGTTCAAAGGAACACCCCGTTCAAGATGCTAAATAGTGTTCTTTGGTGAAGACTCGAGTCCCCAAAAGTTATGCCACTTTGGGCCATGCATTTACATATAGGCAAAATATGGGAGTTTCTCACTCTGTCATCGCCCATCAGCATGCCCTGAAGAACCCAAGAGGTTGATCTAAGCTCACAAGGAAAAAAGCCGTTCTGGTTGCTTTAATCTGTCTTCTTTTTGTGTTAGTTATCTTTTATTCACTGTAATCCTCTTGTAGGAGGCTTCTTATGAAGGAAGAAATAATTAATTGAAAAGAGTGTGTGCACTTATTGAAGGAGTTATTAAAAAACGATCCTTTTGATTAATTTTATTTTTCACACAGTGACTGAATGATGTAGTAATTCTTTAATTTGAATTATGGCTGACCAAGTTGTTGGACTGTCTGGTTTGACAATGAAACATAAATATGCTGTACCCTTTGGTAATCAAAAAAGCCGAGAAAAGAGCAGGATAATTGTCCCTCCCAATCCATCCCAAGAAAATACTCTCGCATGTCGTAGCATGCTTAAGGTTGTTCTTTGAAACATTATGTAAAACATTTTATTTAAAAAAAAAAAACTTTTAAACATTTAAAAGTAACCATAAGTGGTGATAGTCTTCATTTCATCAATTGATTTCAAAAAATTACAAATAATCTCAATAGAAAATATAAACCATTCGAATCTATGTTATTATAAGAATAAGTTACACATGTACGTTCATTTTTGCAGCGTATGGTCTGCAATAGAAACTTGTTGGTTTTGATGGATAGTCAATTTGCTCAATTTTTTTCCTCAATCATAAATTAATTTTTAAAGTTTGAGAGGTTTCTCAACTTTCATAGCTATGTACAAGAGATTTAGTGTTAACAACTGGGTTGAAAACGTAAATAATCCACCGTTCAGAGCGATTAGGGTCTAATCGCTCTGACGAAGGGCTAACGCTCGAAACGTCAGCTTTTTTACCCTTTACGGTGGCTTATTTACGTTTTCAACCCAGTTGTTAACACTAAATTACCTGCTATACTCTCCCACCGACGCAGCACTACAGTTTCTTTAGAAACTTACCCCTTTATTCATATGTACAAGAGAGACAGATTAAAATAGAAATGGCACAATATGTAAAAATAAATTATAAACAGCCTAAGTTTGAAAAAAATTCCTCTACTGCTCAGTTCCTAGGGAAAAGTTGGAAGAAGAACTTTAAAACGTCTGCTGTTGGTATAAAAAATGATGGAAGCAAATGCAATAAATTATATTCCTAAACACTTAAAGCCAGGTTTGTAAGCTTTCGGTTCTTGAGTAAGAATTGTGGCGTGACTTATGTGTAGCTTGTCACGCAATCCGTCCTTTTTCAATAAAACAGTCGTTTATCGCGTGTTTGCAGCTACGCTCGTCTCCAACTTTAGCCACTCTGACAGCAAGGTATCATTTCAAAGTTTATCGGGATCGAGTACCTAAGCTGCTACACAAAAGTGACTCCAAATTAAAAGTTCTGTCTAAGAAAAGCTAAACCCATTAAACAAATTGTAAAAACACTTGGATAGACCGCTGACCCAGATGAGACTTCGTGATCATGATTACAGGTGTATCTATGTGTTCCGTTCACTCCTTTGTCCACCCCGCCTATTTCAGTGGTTTTCTCTACGGCTAAGTTCTCTTTCTCGCATCTCATCCATTTCAGCGCTATACTCTTGGGATAATCAGCCTCAACTTGAATCCTCCAATCATCGAGTCTGAAGTATTTTGATCCTTTGAAGAAGTACGTTTTGCCATTCCTCCATTTCATAACAGAATTGCAATTTGCCGGCACTCCTCCCCAAACACTGATGCTCCTTGGGTAACCAGAATCGATCGTGCGGCCGTTGTAGCGCCAATACTTGTCACCTTTAAAGAAATACGTTCTCTTGTTTCTTCCCCAAGTAAAGACAGCGTCCATGTCTTTTAGAGTCATTGGTAGTCCAAATTCTGTGATAGCACGTTCTTTGTATTCAATTCTGTATGTATCACGGCGGCTGTCGTAGTAATAACGCCAATACCTTAAGAGGAGAAAACAGAATTAGCAAAAAAAGCCAGCAACGCGCGGAGAAAAGTTAGTATTTGATGGAAGATGCTTATGGCATGACATCAAATATAGTCATTCAGTTGTATCTCCACAGGAAATTGAAGAAGAAGGTATAAGAAACAGGAATTGGTCACCCACTAAGGAAATTTGTACGGTGAAAAACTCATGTTGCCGCAACTTAAAACCCTAGTGGTCCATAAAACGCACTTTTTTAACTCTTGGAATGCAGTATCCTTCTCACACGACAAGTTTGAAAAAAATATTCGTCGCCTATTAAAAGAACAGCTGCGAAAAAGACCACAGAATGCCAGGAACTGTGTAGAAATTTTATGATGAAAAGTTGATAGAGCTGAATTAATGACAGACACTCACTTGGATCCGCTGAAGAAAACCAGCCTGTTACCACCAAAGGTGTAGGCAGCGTCTATCCTGTTAGGAAGTTCCTTCCACAAGTCCTTAACCCTGTGAGGTCCACTCTCCAAGCCTGCACCAGGAACATCTTTGATGATCCAGTATTGAGTACCCTTTATCGCGTACGTGCGCCTGTCAGGGCCCATAAAGAACGTGTCATAGGTAGGAATGGAACAAACATCATTTTCTTCAGGGAGCGGAGGTTCAGTGGTTGTTAGTGCTGGCGTCGCAACTGGGCCATTTGTGGGTCCTGGTTTATTGATGGGTTTTCCTGAGAAAATAAATTAAGAATCTCCAGTCAAAAAACCGCTGCGAAGCATGGCTAGCGTTTGAAACATATTGTTTTGCGCCATAGCTAAGGAGCTGATTTGTTGACGAAAGAATAACGTTCTTGCATGAGACACTCGTTGCTCTATAGCTCTCACCATCGTTGTTTGATTTTGCCCTTACTTTACAAAAGCTTACTCCTTGAAACAAATTTTCAGTTGAATATCGAAAGAAATGTCTTTATAAAGATTATTTTGCTAACTTAGTTGCGTAATTAATTTGAAAAAAACTCGATCGTGTTACTCCGTTAACCATAGTTGCAAGAAAAACTAAACCATCAGAAATTTTATACTTTGAGCTGTCACAAGCTCCTCGTCATATTTTTTGGCTGAGCAACAATGAATGGAATTGCGCTTTAAAAGGGCTTGTTTGGCCACTTACCGTAAAGCTGTTGTATTCCCAGGATATCGTCATTAGTGAGCTTTACATCAGGAACATAACCCTTGTACCAAGGGTACATGATAGATTCTCGCACATTAGAATGCTCCAGACCTAAAGAATGTCCAAACTCGTGAATAGCCACCCAGTCCAAATTGATGCCGTCAGATGTCCCTGTGGTAAATCTTTCCGCATCGTCAAAATGTGCGTCACCCGAAAGTCCTGTAAAACACAGATAAATATAGACAATTTTAATTATATAAGGTTAGGAGAGAAACTTCAGACGAGTAAAAGATTTTGCGCTCATCTACAAATGTTTCATCCAAATGCATTGGAGTAATATAACCTCTTGCATGTGCGTCTCTTTTGACTTGTTCTTGCGGTTTTACAACATCCTTTCCAACTTGGTTGCCAGAGACACAAACAAAACAAAGAAAACAATTGAAAGACTGTTTTCCTTTCTTGTTCTCCTCTTTACATTTCCATTCACAATGTCCGACGTTACTTATTCCCGTTCCAAAGCTCCCTCTGAAACTTTTCTAAACTTTCCATTTCATCTTTTACCATATTTCCATTCTTCCCTTTTCCTTTCCGCGTTTCCTTTTCACTTCTCATTTCTTAATCTGTGTTTTTTTTAGTTTGTTAATTATTTCCGATTCATTATTTTAGAGCAATTTCGACTTAGTGTCTAAAGTAAGCCGGTAGTGCTGGGATTTTGCTTTAATTCGCAATATGATCTGTCCTTGAAACTCGCGCCAGCCTCTCATCAAATCAGATTCAAGACTAAAACCAATCACGACTTTGGCCAATTGCCTTTTCCCGCGCTTCCAGTTGTTTTCTTGATTAAAATCCGAATTTTCATTGGCCGAGTCCTCGTTGTTATACTTTTCCCTTGTTCTGATTGGCCTTTGTAATTACTTTGGTTTTGGTTTATGACACTTGTCAATCGAAATGCAAACAAATGGTTTTTTTATCCGTTTGTTTGTATACTAACCCAAGTTGTTGTGTGGGTAAAACGCGTGCGCCAGTGTTCCGCCCTGTCCATCAAAGGGATACGCGTCTTCGTGATACCCGTTTACAAAACTGATATGAATGTCAACGTCTTTATCGTTGGCGTATGGATTCTCCGTGACTCTTAAATTTGAAGCAGCACTCCACATATCAAAGGATTTCTTGAATATTTGACGCTGTTTCTCTTGGCTGGGAATGTCTCTTGTGAAAGATTTAATCTTGTATGTCAGATCCTGTTAAATTAAAGGAGAACATGATTTTCCTATCAGAGCAAATCGACTACAAACGAAATTTGTAGAAGACGTGTAATACAAGCAAGACTTTGTTTAAAGAACAATTAAAATGATATAGATTAATAGTATAACTGAGAAACTAATGATTCTTCAGCTCTTTTGAAATTCAATTTTGTCTGATTCTCCCAATTAGTCAAAGTAAGTGTACAATTTGCGCATTTCTTTTTCAAATTTTATCGCTTGAAATCCTGTTAAATTTTAAACATCTCACTTTATGTGAAAATCTTTGTTAGGTTTTTTCAGTTTGTATATTTTTTTAATCTAGTAAATTTTTTGCTGTCTTTCCGATATGTATGTATGTAGTTGTGCTTTTCTTAAATTTAACGGAAGTTTCGTACGTCATACAACATGAAAAATAATAGACTTGAGTACGATCTTTTTCTTTCTTTTATATGCTGAACAAGAACGTTGCGATCGGCATCCTTTCTGGCGTCTGATTATTCACACAGAACCGGAAAACTTGACTTACCCTTTTCTTCCAATATGTTCCTTGTAAAGTGTATCTTTTCTTTCGTCGCGTGTTATCGGAGTTGTAATTCCCGTAGTCTGCCACACCACAGCGAGATTTGCCCATCAGCGCAATAGTAGCTGCATCCATCCGCCCAGTTTCTGGCAAGTTGGCATATCGTTGAAGCATTTTGATGGATTTCTCTAAATCTTGTCTTGTTCTTAACTTTCCAGTTCTTGGGTCATCGTTCATCAGGTAACCAAACTTTGTCAGAAAATCCTAGCGAGATTGAGAGGAGATTAAACAAATATTAAATCAATAGATCAATAATGTTGACTGACAACAAGTCTTCGATGTCGAGTTTTTTTCCCCTGCGGTCATATAACTGGAACTACAATACTTTCGCATGAAGAGTTAAATTTTCACGGACAGTGAACAAAATACATGTTTGCAGACGCAGTTTCCAACTGGTCTAGCTGTTGAAGTTTCCTCGAGTTTTAATATAAGTGTATCTAAGTAGTTTCATGCGGTAGTGACTTTGCCGTCCAATGTGTGGCTTCCGGTTTTGGTTTGTTCTAATTTCGGCCGTTTTCTCGGAGAAGGAGCGCGGGCTCATTCTCCGTACAGCGCCTGGTAATCGTGCCTGGTTTCAATCAAAAGTGGCAACAAGCCAATGGTACGATGTGAGTTAATCCTCTCAAACCAGCGCGTTCAACGACTCAGGGCGAACTAAAAGGTGCAAGTTCAAAATCCTCTACCCCTCCCCATGCAGGGCCTTTCGACTCTTTCGATGAATCTGACGTGTTTAAAAGTTCCTCTTTCGAAAAAAACGAAATCAAAGATATCATTCGGCATCTTTTCAAAATAAATGATCAAGAGTTCCTCTAGTAAGTTTTCCGCGTAAAAGCGGAACTCCTCCTGGGAAAAGACAAATCAGAGGAAATAAAGATGAAAGGGTCACGTCGCCACAGCCGACTTGGTTTTGATATACGTATATACATATCGACGACACGCAAAACTGATCACCCATGTCTCTTCATTTTCGCCACGTCTGAACAATGTATCTTAGGCAAATTAGTTAAATCAATTAAACTTGGATGAGTGACTCTCTTGGGAGACATCACACAGCGTGGTCGGTGAAGGATGACGTAATTTGTGATATAGAGCCAGGCATGATTGAGTATTTTCTTTCTCGGATTTTAAGAGCTATTTCGGTCTGACGTAATTAAAAGCCTCCTTCGAGAAATTTCAGAGCGATTACTCACAGGCTGCAATTCACCCATGGATTTTGATTAAATAGCGTTTCGAAGATGGTACAACTGCTTTTTATTCGGACAAATTTATGATCAATGGTTCCCAACGATATTTAAGTTCACAAAGGAAATTTAATCGTGCTGCGCTGGCATATTGCATGACAACATCGAACTTACAACGAGTTTATGAACAAATTATATCATTACTTACAATTCCTTCTGCTACTTGCTTTGAATTAACTGGACCTCCATCCGCAACGAGATTTTGTAAACAAACGAGGAAACAGAACGTGACGATAATTTCACTGAACGCCATTCTCCGCTTCACTGCTTACAACAAATTTTTAGCACCGAAATAATTACTTTGTGTCTTTCTGTGCAGACTTGTGGCCAAGTTGACTCGTCGTCCCCAACTGAAGTCAAATGAGAAGGTTCTTTTCTTTATAAGCAAAACCGCCCTTTGCGTGGTCAGATGCCAAGTGTATAACGAAGCAAAAGACCCTCGTAACACCACCACAAGATTTGTTTATAGCGCCTCTGTCACACTATTCTGGACCTTTTTTTTCAATGCTCAGGAAAAGGAGTGCACACCACTTTGAAAAAGATCGAAAAGTGTGGATAATTTATAGGAAACTGATCGTAGTAAGTGCCCACTTCCGCCACAAACAGTGGTTTTCGATTTCACTTCCATATTTGGCAAAGTTGAGGGGATTACTCAACAAGTTGTATTGTATGTATACGTAAACCGCGTGTAAACGGAAACAGTGTAGTCTGCTGCTCTCTCGAACCCTATTGACAGATAAGAGGAAAGCTTATTTGCCAAAACTAACAACCTTGTGTTGGCCAAACATTTGATATTCCCTCCATATATGACCATCGCTGTTGGTGCTATAATATTTCAAAGTCGAGGAAAGTTGACGACAGCCGAACAGGGTTCGAACAGATTTTCAATTCATGATCAGCTTTCCTGATTTGTATATTAATTGATCTTTATCTTAGGCTGATTCGCGTCTGGCGTTTCACGCAGGTACCGACGATTTAAATCAAATTCTGTTACCATTTCCTAGCGGTTGTTTTTCACTGCTCTATGTCTGGCCAATATCGCCAATCTTATCACAAAAAAAACAAACTTGCGTGATGCTGGATTCGCTCGAAGCTTTTTGATTTTGTCACTATTAAAACAACAGATATTGTTAAAAAAAAAACCGAAAGGTACGGAGAAGTAATTCAAGTCTTAGTTGTGTGAATGTTATTCTTATCAGAAAAGCATCACGTTTGCAAGTGTAATGGCATAATTAAATTGTTTGAAGGAACTGTTCAATAAAAATTGAAACATCATGTCTGCTCTTTAACCTAAATTGATATTTTCTTTTATTCTCTTCAACTTGTCTTCTTGATATTGTATTGACATCGTAAGGAGAAATTCTGTTTTGGTCACTCGTAGGAGTTGATGGGCGGGACGGGAGGCGGTTTCAAAACCTTTTATGTATAGCGTATACGAGGAATATCATCTTCCGCGGCGCCATGGGTAATACAGCTGCTATATTCCTTCTTTATCTGTTTCTTATACACTAACTGACTCAATCTGTGGTTTGTAACTGTACGCTCGCATTTGTCTCAAATAGTCTTATTAATTACTTCTTGTTTAAAAACGTCCTTGCAGTGTTTCCTCTTATTTGGTGTGCGCAGAAATTTGTTTGTAGATAAACAAACCGCCGCAGCGAGCACATTATCACGTTTTATATCAGATAATTTTTGAGACTCCGCGCCGCCTTAATGAACCTCAGCAAACTACCTTAAGCTTTTCAACACTCCCCACCGGAAGATCTTTTAAAACATCCTCGGAACAACTCACCAATTGTTCCGAGTGGATTGACCAATCTAGGGATGAAATTGCTGTAAGCCGAATAAATGACCCTCTTCAGTTTAATTTTCTGTTGTTCAGTTATATCAAACAAGCTAATGCTACGAAATGCTTCTACAGTAAGTTAGACTGTGACATCTTTTTCGTTTCACTTTCCGATCAGCCGTGTGTCATTGATTCAAGCAAGGTTCGATGGTTTTCATCGGTACGATAATTTTTGCACGAAATCTTTCGCGCGAATACCCATGAATGACATGGTATTACCGCAAATAGGCTTGAAGCTTTCAATGGGGTGTCCATCATTTTCGGTTTTGAGTAAAAAATCTTCTCAAATTTTTTTTATTTTCCTCATCATTTTCTCGTCGTTATTGATTTTAATTTTTTTGCTTCAGTTTTTCTTTCTTTTATGCTGTTGTTTGTCAGTGCGTTACAACTGTCCCACAAAGTGTAGTCTCATAGTGACTTTTATCAGTCAAATTTGGTCAACTTCCGGTGAGCGGAAATCCGCTCCACTGACGTCATCAATTAACGTCACGTACGCCACATGATCCTACGTATTCCTTTTCGTCCAAATTTCTGAGAAATAAAATATCTCCCAAAATTTAAATTCAATAAAATACCAAACTTTAAGGGTAAGGCAGCCTATGCCGTGAGAAAAATCTCTAGAGAGACTAGGAATCCATCAAAAAATTCCATCAGTTTTATATAAAATGTTATTTGGTTCGGTAAAAGACAAAGGGCCTCTTGGGCAGAAGGGTTTTCAGGGATGTCACGCAACGATGTGCACTTGCCAAAGCACCAAGTGAAGACGGCTGGATAGAAGCAGCTGCTGTCTATCGCGAATATATTCCTGTTTGGTGTTAACAATATCTTGAGCTCTCCGCGTTAAAAGCTATACAGGTTTATGCTGCGTGCTGCCCCCATGAAAATGACTGACAGAGAAATGAATTTGACCTAAGTGTATCGTTCTTTCCTGTTCCAAGCGAGCACTGAGTAAAACGGAGCGAAAAAAATACACGGCTTAGGTCGGGCATATATTGATATTATACATATTAATCACTTGTTGAATTGGTTTTATCTTTGCCATTTACCGTATGATGCTGATCGCAAAAAAAACTAATACGAATGGAACCAAATTTGCAGAAATTAGGAGCTAAAACCATCATCGCTCAACTGTACAAATCGTCAGATAGCCAGAAACAGTTTCATCCCTGCTCTTATACGGATGTGATTGGATTTGCTTTGTTCAACAAACAACCACTCAGCGATTCACCAAAAACAGAGAAAACTGATTAAGGTCCGTTGTGGCCAGTTGAAAAGGTTATCACGTTTCAGCCGTAATCAAAAGAGATTCAGTGGTCATAATCTTCTTTCTTGCCCTAATAAGTCATAATGGGGTTACTTGTGGTTTAGAATAATACGATCGCAGTCAAGGTGTCAAAATCCCCCGAAACGAGATTACCCGTGATTTGTGTATATCTAGAATAGAGATTCTACTGAAAAACTTTGAAGTATGAGTCAATCCAAAATGCGTCTCGTGAGTAGTATGGATTTTATGACATGCACGACTCAGCTGAATTTATGAAAAGCTCAAACAGCCTTTTAAATGAGATCGATCAGATCTCGAATGATACGGGATACAGGAAATGGGAAATACAAACACGTCTGTGTACGGTGTGTATTTCTTTTTTTTTTTTTTTTTTTTTTTTACGGTGTGTATTTCTCATTTCCCACGCTCTTCCTACGCACTCTGAAGTTTTCATGGGCCTTACAGCCTATTCCAGGCGTTCAGTCAGTTAAACGAAGCGAGATAATAAATGTCGCGATCACTAGCGGCTTAGAAAAAAAGTGAGAGGGGTCTGAGTCGGTTCGACCATGCCTACTTCCTTTCTTTCGCTGGCAGAGGTTTTTCACCTTCGGTTTAAGTTGTTATCAGTTTAAGTTCTAGCTCTTAACATCTTTTATTCAGTAACGTAGCATTCACTTCGTTTTCGCTCGATTACAACACGAACACCATAAACAGAATTGCTAATTGTTTACAAAACAATTTTGAAAGCCAAGTTGTGCTGTTAGTAATAGTGAGATATATTTACTGTCTCACATTATAAAGGTCATGCTGTGAATATTGATGAAATGTTTCAAAAACCTTATCCGTATCGAAAAACGCAACTAGCCAAGCATTCGAGGATTTTGGATTCCGGCCCGCTGAGATGTGCGCGGGTCTAACAAGAACAAGTCAAACTGGCACGAGTTTAACTCAATTGCCACACTGCAGAGAGAATGTCGTTTAGTCATGAAATCTTGCAACGCTGTAATGTAATCGTAGAATAGCCGCTTATTTCGGTATGAAACTGGCTCTCCAATGGACTCTGATTGGTGACGCATGCGTATTTTTCGTCAAAGATTATCATTGTGGGCATGAGACTAAGAGAAAACAAATACATTTGCAAACGCGATCAAAATGCAACACGAAAGCAATAACGCATCAGGGTATGGACCTCGCGCCAGTGCGAATTTCCCGTGATTCATCAGTGCCTGCTTTGAGGGTAAACTCGTCGGAGAACAGAGCAAAACAGGACACAGCCTTAACTTCGCTCTTTATTCTTTAGGTTGAAGGGAAGGGAAGGGAACATTTTATACCTAAGTTAATATTTCTAAAATAGATAACTAGTGTATACTCTATCATGATTAGCTAGGTCCCACTGAATGAAACCAATCCGAAAAAATAACATTTTTGACCTTAAGTTTATATTTGGCTAAATATATATCTGCTAAATGTGATATGCAGTTTTTATTCATATGCTGAACCACACATTGTTTTTAACATTAAATCTTTCCTTTATGAAATATATTAAAAGTACTTTAAGAGGTTTCTTACTTCGCTTTTATATATAAAAGTTATTATAAATAAATATATGTACATCGCGTCGTATTGGGATTTCGAAATGTTTTTTGGGTAAGAGTACCGATGAAAACAAATTATCGAAAATATATATATTTCGTCCCCTGAAGAGTAAGTTACTCGGTTTATCTTTATATTATTTAATTGTTTAACTGATTGATCGATTGACCTTTACTCTAAAAAAATTTGAACAATTTAAAGGCTCTGATTTAAAACAGTCGCCTGGTTTGATGTTAATGCTATTTCTTGACTATGTGGGAGGGAGGTCTGGGTCCATTCGCGTGATGAACACGATCCGACCCAAGCCTCTCGTCATTTCACCCCGCCGCCACTATCGTGTCTTTTACAATCTTGCTCCGTTTTCAGCCTAACTAAACGCCTGAATCAGGCTTCTGCTGGACCCTTTTTATCAACCAAATCTATCACTTAACGTATATTCGGTATCAGAAGATATGTTGAAATAAAACTAGCTACTAAGACAATGTATTTCGCCACGATTGCAAAAGAACAGGAAGAAGAGGAACGAGCGGAATCATGTGCATGTGCATGAGATGAACGATACGGCGATATTTTCCCGGCCTTCAAACCCGCCGGAGAACACCCCATCCAATAAGTGGAAATAGTCTTGGGATACCCTTTCTGTATTTGAATAGAAGTGTCATTTAAGGCGTAATATTGTGTCCCCTTGAAAAAGTACGTCTTGCCATTTTTCCATTGCAGTGCAGCGTTCAAATGATTCGGAAGATCAGGTAACACGGAGTGAATAGTTTTGGGGTATCCAGGGTCGAGACTTTTTCTTTCGCTGCTATATCTCCAAAATTTGTCGCCCTTAAAGATGTACAGCTCTCCATTTGCGCCCCACTCTAGTGCGGTGTCCATGTTGTGTACTTCGTTGGGCAGGTTCAGGTCTGTTATGTTCAATGGACCTTCTACCAACGTTCGATTTTTGTAGGTCCAGTATCTACGAATTAAATCAATCATTCTATATGAACAATAACCTTCATTTGGCGTAAAGACATACACGCATTTTTATCCGTGGACATCATCTGCTCTG